GGCTAGAGAAGGAACAATATGTTTACTATGAATAGAAGATATAAGGTAACATTCAGAGGGACCACGCCTGAATGACCGAGTCATGCCAACCGATCAACTCCAGTCAATTCGATCCATTGTTCCCGCCTTTTCCATCGTTAGGTATTTCTCCGTGTTAAACACTGAACACCTATTTTCCGAGTAATCTCGTATTCAGCTTTGAGGATTGTGTGGTTATGGTCCAATCCCACTACAGATTCACTACCAGCTGCAAACGTTTCACAGTTGATTGACGCCTTTCCACTCGTTTCACTTGGTGTCCGTAATGCCGTGAAAGCTGACGTTCGATACATTGCAACACAACTTGCTTATGGAATTACACTGTGTGTATCCCTCACCTTCTTCAATGAATATGGATCCACACTCTTACAAGAACAGGCTTACAAACGTTAAGCGTCCAGTTAAACCTGTTTCCACTTGACCGCAGTCAACTGATGTTTTCGTTTAACCTGCCTTACGATATAGTACACACGTCCTTGTAGGTCACAACTCCACCTCGTTGTTATTTTTCGTATCATATTACCAAAAAATAAATCAGAAACAAAATTTGTTTGCTAATATACTTACTTATGTCTGTCACTTCTCGCGTAATGTGTTCTTTGATCTTCCTCTCCTCCTTTGGCCTTGACGATTTCATGTGAGAGCTTGTCTTGTGACGCAGTTGGGTGCTTTCCTCAATGTGTGTAGTATTCACTTCCAGCGCTTCTTCCTGATTTATTCTTCCGCTGGCATCTGGTTTGTTCTTTCCCATAGTATGTTGTTGCTAATAGTGTTCGGCCAACGGATTCGAAGTATTTTGCGTAGACAACTGTTAATAAACACTTGTATCTTCTGGATGATGGCTTTCGTATTTCCCCAGGTTTCCACCCCATAGAGTAGAACTGTCTTGACATTTGTATCGAAAATCCTGACCTTGGTGTTGGTTGACAGTTGTTTTGAGTTCCAAATATTCTTCAGTTGTAAATAAGCTGCTCTTGCTTCGTCAATTCGCGCCTGCACATCTGCATCGGATCCACCATGTTCATTGATCATGCTTGTAGTTACTTCTACGTCTGCTTTCAGTGCACTGCTGGAATGTTGTCTGGTCCTGCTGCTTTGCCACTCTTGATTTGCCTGGTGGTTATGCTTATCTCTTCAATTGTTGGTGGGCCAACATCGATTGGGAGGTCCGTCGGTGACGCTTCGATGTTGTGTGGGTTCAGTGGGGCTCGTCGATTCAAGAGTTCCTTAAGGTGTTCCATACACCTGTTTAGTTGTTCCTCAATGTTGTTGATTACTTTGCCTTCCCTACTTTTCACTGGTCGTTCTGGTTTACGATAATTTCCAGCGAGCTTCTTTGTTGCATCATACAACTTTCTCATGTGTCCCTCTCATTTGCAACCTATTTCGCTGTCATTGTTAGGTCTTCCGCATATTTACGTTGGCCGGCTCTACTGCTCCTCTCCACTTGCTTGTTCGCTTCTGTGTAGTCAGCTCGTGTCTTGGCTTTTTCTGCTCTTGTTTGGCTGGCATTGATTGTTGTTTTCTTGTTCCTCCTTTCTTGAATCTTATCCAGTGTATCAACAGTGATCCATTCCTTGTGATGGTGCTTCTTTTGGCTCAGAACCTCATGACATGTTGAAGTGATTGCCTCTTTGATCGCCTTCCACTTGCTCTCCATAGTAATTCCTTCTCCATTGAGTAGATGATGAAAGGTCTGGAACTTATTGCTGAGGGTTATCTTGAATTTGTTGAGTCTATCAGTATCCTGAAGAAAAGCCATATTGAACTTTCGTGATATTGTCCGCCCCGTTGTCCAGTGCTTCCTGAGTATCAATTTCATCTTGGCGACCAGCAAGTGATGGTCTGATGCTATATCAGCTCCTCTCTTGGTTCTCACGTCTTCTATCGTCCTCCTGAACGTTTTATTGATGCAAATATGGTCTATTTGGTTTTGCGTGATGTGATCCAGTGAAGTCCATGTGGTTTTGTGAATGCTTTTATGTGGGATTATGATGCCGCCTATGACCAGTTTATTGAAGGCACATAGGTTTGCAAATCTCTCACCATTTTCGTTTCTTTCTCCCAGTCCGTGTCGTCCCATGATGTCTTCAGATCCAGTGTTGTCCGTTTCAAAGTTGGCATTGAAATCTCCCACCAGAATGGTCAACTCCCTTGTTGGGCACTTCTCGATAATTGACTGCAGCCTATTGTAGAATTGATCTTTAGCGTCTTCATTTTAGTCGTTGGCAGGCGCATAACATTGGATGACGTTCATTTTAATGTCCTCTTTCTTTGTTTTGAAGGAGGCTTTGATGATCCTTGGTCCACGAGATTCCCATCCTATAAGTGAATTTTGTGCTTGTTTAGACAGCATCAGTGCAACTCCTTGTGTATATGGAGCGTTTTCTTCTTCATAGCCGGAGTATAACAGCAGTTTTCCTGAAGTTAGTCATTGTTGTCCAACTTGCGTCCAATGTGTTTCACTGACTCCAAGCACCTCTAGGTTGCACCTTTTCACTTCTGCAGAAATTTGGATGACTTTTCCGGCTTCCGACACTGTACGAGTATTCCATGTACCTAAATTAATGGTTACTCTGGTTGTCAGAAGGAGCATCGGCCTCGTAACTTCCCAAGGAACTAGGCTTTCAACATGAGACGTCACAGTTCTTCTAAATGAAGACCTTCTGACTCCCGGGACAGAGTTTAAAAAGTTTGAACAATTTTTTCTGGTTAGCGCTTTTTAGCGAGTTAGTTTTCTACGGGATGGGGTCGCTAACCCCATGCCCAACCCTCCTCTTTTATTTGGGCTTGTGACCGGCAGTAGCCTCCGGAGGGACTCCGGGTGGAGTTGTTTGCTAATATACCCATATGTATTTGTACAAATATAATTTTTTCCTGAAAAAGCAAAAATTATCATCATGAGAAAATTGCATCTACGTTATCGCATGTTATCAGTACGCGTGTATGCAATATTTCACCTTTTTCGCCTGATGCGCGTATGATCGCACTTCGATATTCAGTTAGCAACCTTTTTTCTTTTCCAGGACGGCTAGAAAAAATGAAAAGAGGTTAATATGTCCCCAAGATCAATGGCTTTTTATGTCTTCAAGATGTGATGCTGACCGGATTACTTTTACTGGACTCATCTAACTGGATATAATCAATCACGCAATCACACCAGACCATGCATGGGCACGCCGTGCTACGCATCCCTTTCAACTATTGGTCAGCCTAGACCAAACGTTGCTCGACATATCGACAACATTTCAAACATATCTTCAAGCTCCTTCATTTCTGACTTCACAAAAAACTGACATAATTTAAAATGTGAACTCTCTTAAATACATATCCTAGTTCTTGATTTTAATCTTACTGTTCTATCATGTAAATAGAGAACTAGACCCAGTTGAATTTATTAACAGAATGATCAAGTGATCATAAACGTGGAGATGTTTATCTAGCTTTGAAGATATAAGCTTTCTGTTGGTTGGTTAAATCTTCTTGCCATTCCGAAACAATTTTCTTTTCGCAACGTATCATTCTGTATATTTCTAGTAGTTACCACTAAAACTGAATCTAGGAACTAAGTTCAGACAACTAGCTAAAAGTGTGAAATTCTGGTCATCAGGACAGAATTAGAAAGGAACCTACGTAATGTACTGATTATCGGACCTATGATTGGATAGTATGTCAATATTCATCTTTTTAACGGTGGAACTAAGGGACCCTCAGCTGGTATTCTTTGTTGTATAAACGCTACCGTGCCTGAAAAGTGAAATGGAATTTATCAAAGCTATCGCATCATATTATTACTATGATATATTGTTTAATAGTCTTGACTTTTAGTGTGAGTGTGATCTCGTCCCCAGCTATCATGTTTCCTAACTTTATTAAGACATTTACCTCAGTTTTTCCTAATTTTTTTTCTACTTTTTGCAAGTTCAACTCAATATTCTTCTAAATCCTACTGAACCTGTTTAAATATGGAGAATATGGTGCAAAAATTACTGAAACATGTGTATAACCAGATTTCTGAAGAAACTGAAGATGAGTCCTTTGCAATACTTATGCACCAATAGGCTGTTTTTGAATAACAATAATGATTATAATAATAGTTTTCAAGTCGTTACAAAATGATGCTCAAATGATCATGGGGTTTCAAGTTAGGCCTGTTAATCGATAGGCAACAACGTTCGGTTATACTTTAATTGTACCTTGAAATAACTGTTTGTAAATTTTGGAATGTTTGTACAGCACTCTGCAGACGGAAAGGTGTCAGCAAAAACTCGTCCAACTCAAAAAGTATGATATTGACTGTCATAGACATATCTTTTTCGGCCATTGTGACATAGTGGTACTCCGCGCTAAAGCCAGAGTACATAGTGATACACTTCAAGCCAAGCTATAAACCACCTTGAACGAAAAATAATAAAATTTAAAAAAATCCATTAAACCGGAAAATACCTGACCAAAAGTTTTCACATGTTTGTCAACATGGGACCGTGAGTTTCTCATCATCGTACTGCCAATAGATAGGTGCTTTTTAAAGCAGGCCAGAAAGTAGATGAGCAATAGTTTCGGTTAAATAAAGTGATGTCATGTTAACATGTCATACCTTACGAAATACTAGCAATTGTTATGCTGTCTAAGTGAAGATTTATAGGAAGACGTTTGAGAAAATTTAGGTCACCTGGCAGTTCTCTTGAGAATAATGATGACTATCCAAATAAATACCAGTGAACATTAATATTTACACGAATGGTTAAATCTAAGTAACTTGAAGAAACGTCTACGCAATCTTTCTAATGAAACCGAGAAAAAACAATTCAACGGCAGAGCTTTGAACTAATTTTTCTACGATGTGATATTATTTACTCTCTTATTTGTTGATGAAGGATGTTTTTACTGGAGATTTGTTTATATGTATAAACGACACTCATGGAGTGAAGGGTAATATTTAAAGGGTTTAAGCTGTAGTTCGCGACATATTGCGAAACGAAATGGTGTTTTCAGACAAGCAACTTTTTGAGAAGGTGGTCGAGATACTCAAGCCACTTGATCTTTCTGTGGTTGACTATGAGGAGATTTGTGATAGGATGGGAGAGTCAATGCGTCTAGGTTTACAGAAGAGTACAAATGAAAAATCATCTATTAAAATGTTTCCATCTTATGTTACAAGAACACCAAATGGGACAGGTATTTTAACATTAAATGTTTTATATCTTCGTAGAAACTGGAAGTTTCTTAGCTTTAGATCTTGGTGGAACAAACTATCGAGTGCTTTCAGTAACTCTTGAAGGCAAAGGAAAATCTCCAACAATCCAAGAGAGAACTTACTGTATTCCTGCAGAAAAAATGTCGGGTTCTGGAACGGAGGTTAGGTGTAATGTCAAGCTTATTTTTTGTAACTTGACCAATATCTTATTTTTGTTCCTATTTTCACATCGTCTAATTTTTTCTATCCTATTTCCTTTTAAATCCATGAGATGAACCAGTTTTGGTCTTGATTTCTTCTTATCAAGTAAACTAGCTAGTTTATTCAAGTGTTAAATGTGGCATAACTTTGGAAATCGCCTTCGGTTTAAGACTAAACTCATTGGTCCACGAGAGATTACTCTATCCAATTCAACCAAGATTTATCCGACTCTCGGGATATCTGACTTTGTTTGATAGCCTGGTTTGAAGGCAACGGACTAACATGTCTTTGGTATTTCCTCATATGAAGGGTTGTGGGTGAATTTCCTGGGCAATATTTGCTACTTCTATGTAGTGAAATACTAATTCTTTAAAATTTGAAAATATCTGCATTTTATTTATGAATTGTGATTTAATAACCATACCAAATGCAATTTTTACCATAAAATACGTTATTTAAACTAAGTTAAATGCACTTTGCCCTGAATCTAAACTCCTGAAGTTCTAGTAACTCTCAGACAATTTTGTTTAAGGTGGCTTTTCAGACACATAAACAGTTAAACAATACTGTCTCGTAGGTGATTGCACGCATTTGTATCAGGTTAGCTAATCGTATTACTTCTCTTAGGCTAGATTATGGATAATTTAGTCTAAACGTGTTTCTGGTTTCCATTGCTTAGTCAAAGCTACTTTCTAGAGGTGGAGGACCTACGGACTGAGAATGTTTGTGAAATTCATAAAAAGCATGAAATGTGTTCAAACCCTATTTTAAACTTGCATTGGATTTCCACTGAGTCTTTTCAAATCATCTCATTAGCCAGCTATAATAAACGTAGAGCTTGGAACTAATACATATTGGACAGAGCTGTCATTGTTGTAGAAAGCTATATAGCCTGAAGTGACTCATTACAATCATATTCTTAAAATATAATTTGCATTCTTTTAGATTCTATTCCAAACATTCTGTGTTGGCTTTTTTTGTGTATACAATGAAAAATAAATTGCACAGCTAGCTTGTTTTATATTAGTTAGGATCACTTAATAAAAAAGATGTATATTTCTAGAAACAGTTTGATAAATTGCTTATTATTATCTTTCTTACGTAGCTCTTTAAATATATTGCTGAGACACTGGCTGACTTTCTGGAAAACAACGGAATGAAGGACAAAAAGTTCGACCTCGGATTCACGTTCTCTTTTCCATGTGTCCAGAAAGGCCTCACTCATGCTACTTTGGTGCGATGGACAAAAGGGTTCTCTGCAGATGGGGTAGAAGGTCATAATGTTGCTGAATTGCTGCAAAATGAGCTAGATAAAAGAGTGAGTGCAGTTGTTAAATCGTGCTTTTACAGGGTTGATTTTATTAAAACAGTAGTTACTTGCTGTAAGATACTGCTATTTTATTGAGAAATTGTAAAAGTGACTTGATTTTGATTGCATGAGTACGCTTCAACAAATGAGCCTATGTTAGTTGTGGTGCCATATCAATACTGACATTATATATTTGGCATTCAAAGGAACTTATCGTTCCTTCCCAACGACTAACGTACTTAACTCTAGGTTATTCTGTGTTGCTTTGTGACCACGATATTTTCGTCTTAGTGTAATGGCTTCTCACAGTTTATTTATTTGAGTCTGATTAAAAGTTAACATCCCAGGTGTTAGCTCATTCATGCGAATGTGTTTACAGTCTTTTTCATTATAAAATCAGCATATGAAGTGAATTAAGAATGAGTGTACAAGAGTTTCAACAATTATGGTCTCTGCGTAGTAAAATTAGGACTGAGATAAAATAAATTACAGAGTCAGTAATTTTCTATCTCAAAAACTGTTTCATTAATGGGTGTACGACCAGAAAACTTTGTTTGCAAATAGTTAACATTTTTCAATGTTTTTAAGTTAGATGTATTTTTTGTTTTAAATTTTTGATTCATTATAATCATTATTGGCATCGGAAGATGTAGGACGTCGTTTATTCTGGATGAAGTATCACGTTTATGTAATTAACTGTTTAAATTTCTATTTGTTGCAGGGATTAAATGTGAAGTGTGTTGCAGTTGTAAATGATACAGTTGGAACACTTGCGTCGTGTGCTCTTGAGGACTCAAAATGTGCCGTTGGATTGATAGTTGGTAAGTGTTTTATTTCATTACCGAGATAAAATTTTGAAAATGCGTGTACACATAAATATATGTAACGCTTGATGGTTTACCAAGTGCATTTAGTACCTGACTGACAAAGGTTTTATCCAAGTATTTTTATCCAACTGTTTTCCAATCTTCCTGTTTTACAGGGACGGGAACAAACGTTGCTTACATTGAGGACTCTTCGAAAGTCGAGTTGATGAATGACGTGAAAGAACCCGAAGTCGTTATAAACACAGAGTGGGGTGCATTCGGCGAGAAAGGGGAATTGGATTGTTGGAGAACACAGTTTGACAAAACAATGGATATAGACAGTCTTCACCCGGGAAAACAACTGTTAGTCTTATTTTATAGATACTTAAAATTATTGTAGTCAACAATTATTTTGTTGATATTTTGTCATAAGCTCTTGCAAGCATCTGAAACATTGTTATTTAGGTCCGGGGATGATTTTATAACTGGTTGTTTCCAAGTTTAGAACTATTCCTTTGTAAGAGCATTTTTCTCAAATTATTTCATACACATTAGTAAATAGCAACGGTGTTTATTATTAACAAGTCCTTGACTCGAGAGTTTCAGTTTTTCCCATTCAACACATATCATGCAGAAGTATGTTTTTCAAACATCCAAAATCATTTTATAATTTATTCCTGTTCTGTATTATCTTCAGATATGAAAAAATGGTATCTGGGATGTACCTTGGTGAGTTAGTTCGCCACATCCTTGTTTACCTTGTTGAACAAAAAATTCTCTTTCGTGGGGAACTCCCTGAACGTTTGAAAGTACGCAATTCTCTGCTGACTAGATACTTAACAGATGTTGAAAGGTAAAGTTTATTTGAAACGCTGATGTTTTAATCGATTTAGTTTTACATACTAAAATGATGTTTATAACAAAATGCATGTATTTTTGCCACTTTTAATTTAACGCAAAATGATATTTGGTTTCACTTAGCTGATTATTATGATAAGTAAGAATGACACCAGAGATATACAGTGCTTTTATTTTTATCAATTCTGGGGATTGTACTAGAACAAAATGGCCCTCCAGTGCTTCCAGGTTTTCAATGGTGGTCTTGCTTAGATTGACTTGTGATTTCAGCTTTCATTTTCCACATGAAGATTTATAGAGTTTTTAAACTTGATGATCATGTATAGACCCTGTGGCTAACTCGGTATACTTTTATAATCTTTTAACTCTATTTTGTGATAACAGCACAAAGTTACTCAGCATTACAAACTGTGATTTCCTATTACCAGTTGTCTAATTTCTACATATAACAGTCATTATTCAAAAGTTACTGATTAATTTACGACTGATGTAGATTAACGAAATCATGTGGCCAATAAAGCGAAACAGAAAAAACTGAAACTTAACCATGTAAGGTTGGTTTTGCACCGGTGAATTAAATTATGTTGATGCTTTCGTTTTTGCAGCTTGCATTTCTACCCTTCACTCAGTCAAAAGATTAATACTTTTTGGTACATGAAGTACGTAACAAACTATGATAGTAAATTATTTCCTTTGGACCGTTGAACTGTAGTATGAATTCGGGAACAATTATTTCTTGGTGTTGACAATTAAATCTATATTTCTCTTTCCATTTATATCACATTTCACGTATTGTCTCTATATAAAAATCTTATTTTGCTAAAAATTTTGTTTTAGAGATCCTGCTCACCTTTTATACAATACTCACTATATGCTTACTGATGACTTGCGTGTCCCTGTTGTTGAGCCGATAGATAACCGCATAGTACGTTATGCCTGTGAAATGGTCGTCAAACGGGCGGCTTATCTAGCAGGCGCAGGTGGGTCCATCGATTTTTATCGCATGAACTGTTATGCATAGATTGCCGTATTTTTCAATAGAATACTACAAATATTATAACACACTGAACATTTAATAACTGAATTCTCGTTCATCTATTTTCAGGTATTGCATGCATTCTTCGGAGAATAAACCGCTCTGAAGTAACTATTGGCGTTGATGGCTCTTTATATAAATTCCATCCGAAGTTTTGTGAACGAATGACAGATATGGTTGATAAGCTAAAGCCAAAGAATACACGAGTAAATGAAAATTCAATGTTTTTATTATATTTCAAAATACTTCTCATACTTTATTGCTAGGTATTTTATATATTGCATTGCTTGAAAAAATTCATAACAATATTGAAATATTCTCTGGAGAAGGATAAATTACCAATTTACTGCTCTAATTTATTCTATTTTGAAGAGATTACGATTGGGTGCAAATCTATTTATGTGAATATTATTTCGCCTGAGAAAAAATACTTAAGTCTCATAGTTTCTATCATTTCACTTAGAAGTAATTAACGTACATGTACATAAAAAAATATTAAAAGGCTGATATGTTTAAAACAATGAAATTAACGTAAACGAAGTATCAATTGTAATATTTTTAATTTATGTCCCTCTAAAGTATCATTTACAATAATCACTGTTTTATATATATTTCAATATAGTTCTGTCTACGTTTATCTGAAGATGGAAGTGGAAAAGGAGCGGCAGCCATAGCAGCGTCATGTTCACGACAAAACTAAAAAACTGCACACACAAGAAACTATTGTTTATATTTAGTTCTTTCATCTGTTTTGTTGGCTTGATAAAATTCTCCGATAATTCAGAAACTGGCCCGCTTTATTTAGTTTCTTGGCTATGATTATCTTACTATACTTTGAAATATATAGTTTTAATGCTGAAGGAAACATCATCATGAAATTGAAGGATCAAATATAAATCGACTTTTTTCTTATTAGATCACATCATACAGTAGTTCAAAAACTTAGTTCTTTACACACGGCATTTTTCTGTAACTTCCTATAACTTCTGTTATCTGGTTTTCTATCATTAAAGCATATATATATATATATATATATATATATATATATATATATATATATATATATATATATATATATATATATATATATATATATATATATATATAATTTTTCATGAGAATTTCTAGTCAGTCAATGACATTAAAGTCACAGTATTTTATAGATTCTATAATTCTATTTGGCTTTGTTATGTAAAAGGCAATGAAACTATATACCTTAAAAAACTTTTTCTGTACCAGCTATTATATGCAATACATGAAGAATTACTCTTTATTGCTATTATTATACAAATATTTTTCTGAATTTGCAGTTGTAGAGCAAAATAAACGAATTTTTAGTTGTAAAAGAAAGCTAATATTCTAATTCTTCGCTATTGTTTTTACTTTTTTATGTTTCATGAAAAAAGAAAACCCTTATATCTTTTAGTTTTCACTAATATTACTATTATTTTTTAATCATTATTCTTAATATTCCGATTACTGTACACGTATATTTAAAAAAAAACATTTTAGCCAGAATGTAAACAATCAGATTTAGTGTATTTCGTTCTAGGACATTGTGATAAATTTGTTTAACTATTTATTTTCTTGTGTGTGTGCGTTTATTTGTGATCGGCTAATTGAACATATCTATGGTAAACAAAAGTGAGAAAAGAATGATCTCCTGTTGTAAATTGCAACATACTTTGAGTTTGGAAAAAAGTGATAGATATGTAATCATTTGTATTTATGGGCCAAATATATCTCACTATTTTATGCCATTGAGAAGTTTTCAAATTTTTAATTAATAAATAGCATGATAATTTATCAAAGTTTAGATCAGGAAAAGTGGGAAATTAGAAGTCGTCGAGTTGTTACTGAATATATGTTGTTATGCGTTTGTTCTTTAACTATCAGATCAGGTGTCAAATTTAATGCACCGTGAAAATGAAGGTTTCTGTGTGAAGGAGCTAAACCTTTTATATATATTATGGTAAATAAGTGTGGACGTTAACAAGATAAGATCTGATACATATGTATTCAGGTTCATATCAAGATAGAAACGAAAAATGACTAATTGGCGCGCTATGGAGTGAAACATACTGACAATAATAGAAAATAAGGAAAGAAAGAATGCCTGTGTTACCTTGAAGGATTTCAAGATATCCCACCTAAGGTCTCTGACCACAGGTTTGGATTGTGTCACTGACCCATACTAGGAAGTTTGCGTTTTTGAAAATGCGTTAAATCAAAAGTCATTGATGTGTCCTAGCATATTTTGAACTGAATATTGTACTCACTAGTAAGGGACGTCAATGTACTTGGTAGTTATATACACTGAATATACGTCTCAATTATCATATATGACAAAGGTTCATTAGTTTATTTACTTTCTTTGCTCATTAATTTACGCTTAAAATTACCTCTTAACATTTCGAGACTGAAGTATTCATTCAAAATGCAACGGTGTTCATAATCAGACAGTAATAATCTACTCATGATTTCTCTCTTCGGGAATCATACTTCAAAATCATACTTTCCCTATGACATATAGGCGGGAGCATCGACTGAATGACAGGTGGCGTAAGATAAAAAAACTAGGTCGACATCTTATACCTATTCTGAACTCTCGTCAGCCACTAACTCGCTAAGGCTTTTAAGAATCGCAACAAAAGATGAGACGGATAAAGTACTGAAACCACGAGTTCTGAAACAGTTTGATATGATGAGGTTAAATATATGATAAACATTTTGTATTGATATTCAAAGCGTTCAGAGGATAAAATTATCTCAGCTTTATCAACAGATAGGACTAGGTTACTTATTTACTTCGGGTGGATGAGAGTCTTCGGATACTAACCTTTGTCCTCAAAAGCAGGAGAAATCAAATATGGTCATGAGAAGCCTATTTTTGATAAAACTGTATAGAAAAGAGGAAACCAAGAAGATTTGATGAATACCAAGAGATAAAATAAACTCGGTTAATAGCCGTAAACTGTGATTTAACATAAATTTTTAAGTAGATGACTTTCAGACAAATGGCATACCTCTTTCTGAAAAATAAATCTGTATCACAATATCGAATAACAGGCATTTGTGAAGTTACATCGATATGTATACCGCAATACAACTTAAGTGAAAGTTTAGAAGATTGATTAATTGATGACATTGTACAAGATAACCAATTCTGTTACTAGTGTTATTGTTTTCAAGAAAATCTTGTACTTTATTATGGAAATATAGAATATTTACATATATTAGCTTAAATCAAGTTTTCTCTCGTCTTAATGCTAATCTATTATTTACTTCAATCTTCTTGTTAATTATATTTCATCTCAGTTAAGCTTAATTCTATAAACCTAGTATATTGTCTTATTTTATTATGTTATTCTGTATAGAAATATGTTCACTCATTTGTATAATCACGTAGTTTAACATTCTCGTCAGAAGGTCATACAAACTTAAAGCCAGACAGAAAATAAATGAAAAAAAAGAATCTCTATTAAAGAAGTAGAATAGTGTGCAATTAAGTTATTGTGGTACAAAAATAAATATAATGATATTATTTTAGTATAGAAAGTTGTAATTATTGTAAAATATTTCGTATCATTACATTTTGGACTTTGATTTGACAACCACTGAAAACTAGAAAAGATTAGGAAACTATCTTGTCCGAGCATGGGATATCCTTTCAATGAGCACCTATGATTCTACTACAGAACAAAACTAGGGTCTATATGTCACGTAGCAAAAAAAATTCTTAGTGAGCCAGTGACACATAATCAGTACCAGTACTAGTATTTGACTTGTTAATTTCAAATAAAATGAGGATTGGGTAGATTGGCAGTAATAAAAATAATTATTTATATTTGTAATATCTCAAAGAGTAATGCACAGTAGTAAAATCGAAGTATTTCTTCTTTTGTGAAGTGAGAAATATTTGTGGACTAATCAATGGATTAATAATTTTTTTTGATCGTACGTTAATAATCTAATATACTCTTAAGTTAGACATAATATTGGTTTCATATTAGAGATTAGCTGCCTTATTGATAAACTGTCTAATTAGTATAAAACCTAATATAATGGTAGAATGAATAGTTCTGTCCTGATACATTTTCATATCATATCAAGAAATATTGATTTAGTTATGAAGCAGGTAGAACTTTGATAGCAGAGACAACTTCAACTGCTACTTATTCATCTCAGAAACGTTTTATTCTGTTGTTTTAGTTTAGTGACCTGGATCTTTACTTAGATCAAATAGACATTTGAGCTACACTTGTTTGTAGAATAAATACAATTTGCTGACGAATACGAAAGTAGATGAAAAAAGAAATATATGATGATTGTTCAATTTATTCAGAAAGAATATCTGAAGTTTAAGTGAGAAGTCATTGTCAGTGGCACCAAACCATGTCGAAGTTTTACAGTTTTTCCTTTCAGCTAATGTCAATCAGTGTGTAAAAACTAACTTAAGAACTTTTAATGTTATTTACCAGTAGTCACAAATAATATACAAAAATTATGCTGGACTGTTATGCCCCGATAAGAATAATGAGTGGTAATTTTGCGATCCATTTGTGGACCAATACTATACATATATTTTTATCGTATACTTGTTAATTAACTAAACTATTCATATTCATGTCTCTTTTATCATAATCTTTATGTTAACCTATGAACTGTTATTATACGACTATGTATTCTTGAATTATTCCCTGTCTATTAATCACTACCTCCCACATTCACAGCCATATTTGGCCAAATATTGTACAAATGTTATTTTCTATTTTACTGTACGTTGTGGTCTGTTTGATTGGTATATAAACTCAGTATGTTTGAAATATAATGATTCATATCGCAGAGGCTCGGATTAATGTTATAGACTTAACTAGCTAGGCTAGGCAGAAATCGGACCCTAGACTGTTCATTTGGGTTCAAGCGTCATTGATCCTATCGACAAGTCACTGCTATCTAATTGGCGGTCACAAGTTATGACATGGACACTGTTTGGGAGTTATCAGATAGAGGTTACAAAATTGATTTAAATTAAAATATTCAGCTACCAATTACAAAAATATTATCAATCTACAAATGTATATGAAAAAGAATCTTCTCTAGCAACAGAGGTTATTTACTCTAAGATGAAAAAAATAATAACTCTTAATATACACCATTCTTAACGACATTATATTTAATAACACTGTGAATGTTGGTAAGGTAAATCAGGCTTTGCGAGCAATTTTTAAAATTGAATCTCAAGGTTGTATTGTTGACTCCTCTCATAAATCAAGAAGATCAGAAATTGTATTTCAATGGATTTAACTGTCATCAAACTTAAAATATAATATTATTTAGAATGGGAATAAGTTAGTAAGAAGATTAGAGAAAGAAGTGCTACATTATAATAGAATCATAAGAGAAAGTTTAATAACATCCGTAATTGTGCAGACATTTAACTTGAACACTTTAAATGATGAAATAAACTATGAAATGCGATTCAGAAGTGATACAATTAAATTTATGATATCATTCATTTACATTCAGCTAGATTCTAAACATTGTGTGTTATATCTATCAGCATTTTACTCATTAAATGTTTTACTCCTGTTGTGTTTAGAAGTCATTTTTATTCCTTAAATATTTCGTTTTTAGACTTTAAGAACCTAAGATCGTTTATAAAATTTTCTGTCTAAATTCCCGTCTATCAAACAATCATAGGAATTCAAGGTTCAATAATAAGCTTCTTCACGTCTATCAAACTATATATAGTTAATGTCAGGAATTACGCAAGTATCAATA